GTGATACATTTGTTTGATTGTTTTGCTTCGCCAATATGCTATCTATACCTTGAACAAGAAGTCAAGTCTGAACAAATGAATATTAACAGAGATGTTATTAAATTACAGAGGAAGTGTCGGTGAAAACAAGCATGCGAGAGTTAAAATGACGGCTTGAGCTTCAGTGTTAGAGCATTAATGTAAGAAGAGCTTCTGTTCTCCATTAGGCTCACTCATTCTTCCTCTTCTACCCGAATCTCATACCGTTAGCCAAACCATCTAAATTTTTAGCTCGTGAAAATGTATCTGATCAATCTGGTGATCCTTGTCAATGAAGTAGACCATGCAATGACCGCTATTTTCACCAGACCTACACCGCATATTCACATCTGTATCGGTTTTAATTCTTTTTTTTAGAGATGATATGAAGATTCGTGGAACTATTCAATCGAAAAACTTTGATAAATCTGTAGATTTTTTCAAAATCCTTTGCCGAAACTCGGATGTCTGACATCAATTCTTTCGAACGGCTTAATTCACATAATTGACACTGTTCTTACGTCTTTGCACAGTTCTGATACGCAGCTCTATCTTAATCAAGTATTTTTTTTTACAATACTTGTATCGAGAATGTTGTTTTTATATCATTTTTTTTTGTCTAAAAATGTTTTTAATCGCTCAATTGCTTTTCATTTAGTATTATCCTTTTTTGATAAAAAAAAAGAACCAATTCAACATAGATATTGAAGATTTATGCACTGTTTTCTCGTAGTAACAATATTTGTCTTGTAATAATATGTTAAGGACTATTGCATAGTGCAAGGAATGTCAGCAATCTTTTTGTAATCCTTGAAAAATTGCTGGCTTTAAAGGAAGAACTTTAAGAATTGTACAAGCCCTTGATTTCTAGGCACCATGTGACAAACGGAAAAACAATAAATGGAATTTTTTCGTTCCAATTCATCATGAGAAATGCCATTGCGAAAACTTGAGCAATACAGAAAAGAGTCTTGTCATCATTTTTGATACTCATATTTTGCATCAAGCCTGCTAAATGTCCTGTGGTCAAGAAGAATCAATTGATACCAGAGATGAACAAAGGATAAGTTGGTACAGTTTCTTGTGTCTTTTCTCTTTTTATCTTGTTGAACTGGACGCACAAGCTGATCCTATGTTGTTGCATAAATTTTTCTTTACAGTTTTTACACAATATTTACCGTCATTAATCATACTTGATATCCATTATGAGTTGTATGTGGCACAATTAGAATGAAACACAACGCTAATTTTAATATTGGTAGGCAAGCGTGTCAAATTAAGATGAAAATGATAATAAAAAATATAAATAGATAAGCAATACTCATCCATTATCATTTATTCCTTCGTATTCATATGGATTTTGTATTTTACTTTATCATTTATCTTTGATTTTCAAATTTCTGACACACTCAAAACAAAAGAACATACAAATTTAGTTAATATATCTTTTCCACGTGAAGTCCCTCGGCATTCAAAAAAAGCTCAAGCTTTTACTTCTGCTTGAAAAAAACATTACATAGTTATCAAAAATAACTACTCAACAGCACAACTATCTTGATGGAACATATTTGAATTTTCAGTTAGATTAGATGAACATAATGCATAATAACAAATCTTCGGCTATGTTAGTTGCTTTGAGTGTGTCCAAACATTTATTTATTTTGGTAGGAGTGGAAGAATACAGTTAAATCAACATCAAACAAAATGTGTAAAAATCATATCTCATTTTTTCATCATCCTCTTCTATAATATTTGATCAATCGAATACTTCATCATCAACGCAATCTACTGTAACATTCTTGAACTAAAAATGAAAAAGATGCTGAGAATATCAATCAACTATGTACACAATAGGTTTGTAAAGATGCTCGTTCTTTTTCAACATTTGAGTAGAGTTATGACATTTTAAAAAGTTATGAAATAAATTAATTATAAAGTGACTAAGAAGTTAACTATATGCTTCACTGAGTTAAAATTTACAGCAAAAATATCTTGTGTGTTCTGCTTAAAGTTCTAACTTACCATTCGACACAATAGAAATCTACTGTAAGTACGAATTCGTTACGAGTAAAACAAACAAATTAAATTTTCATCTGCGTCTCACAGAAAAACATTATAACCAGCTAATACGAATAAATATATATGCTCATTCTCGTAACTCTGGACGATAATAATATAATAATTGATTCGTTAACATAGATACGTTATGTATAATGATTTGAAAGTTTAAAAGTTGGTATAATATAATATGATAAACAGATAATCAAGGATAAGACTTGTTATGTGACAATGATTGTCATCACACTCTCTCTAAGCGAACATTAAAAAATTCAACTAAACTATGTAGATCATGAATGAATGAATGAATTTCTAAATATAAGATCATCTCGTGTTTAGCCAGATATAAGATAGACTTTGATAAACAAATAATGATATGCTGTACTATTTTCTGATCAATATATGAGATTACAGCTTCGAAAGCACATATATCCATGAAATTAATAATTCAATGTACCTAGAGAGGTTTGTCTTGATAAAAAATATGAGAGATGTCTTTCGTAACATTATAAAAGTTGTTGCAAACAATTTTGTAGACTTCATATAAGTCTACAATGTGACACTATCTATTTCTCAAAGAACAACAACGTATTAAAAATTTCAAAAGATATATAACAGACTATACAGTAATTAATAAAAAATGGATCATGCGCTTAACTTTGGAAAAATCTTAATTGTAGTGCTAGGCAAAAATTTCGAGTCAAGAAGATCCAAGGCCAATAGTGAAACTACAATTGCGGACAGTAAAGAATATATACGCAAAATAGATTAAACTATAATCACGTTTCTTAGACGAAATAGATGAATTTTGCAAGAAACTACAGTTTTTTTATATTGTTAGTTAATAAATATAAAGTAAACTTATTAGCCTAAAATAGTAATTAAGTCAAGTTAATCTAGCTTATACATAGTAATATGGATTGCTGACAAGAACTAAAATGTTATATTCTTCTCTTGATCGAAATAAAACACGAAAAAACTTCGAAATATAAGAGAATATTATACTCAAGCTAATGCACAGTAATTAATATGATTTCAGGACTCTATTTTTGAGCATGAATATCTTCGCTTAAGAACATTATAATAGAGTGTTCAAAACATCTTTTAATGTAGAATTGAACGGACTACAATATGAAGCTATTAGTCTATTGACATTATCTTGTGACATGGGCGTCTAGTCAAAGTAGTGACAAGATAAAACCATGTGTAATGTTAAGAAATATCATATTTAAACTTCTTTTTATTCTATGATGCGATCAAAGATAAATATTGTAAATACATTTTTGTACGGCACGTTAAAATTTGTGGATTGGTATATAATTCAAATGGGGAAATAAAATGCTGCGAAATAAAAAATATCACAAATTTAATAGAATGTTAGATTGATAATAGGTAAAATACTGTGTCAGAGTTTAATATTTGAGACTAGTTATCTCGACTACTGGAAGTTTTCAAACAATATCTAATATATGATTGGATGCACTATTAAATGAGCTATATAATGATAGAAAAAGAATTTGAATAACCAATTTTTGACCTAAACATTTGATCAAAATACGGAAACATGCAGAATATTTAGGATGCTAAAAAACACTGTATTTGGACTTTTTCGATTCTATAATGGGATTAAAGAGAGAAGTCAAATATGTAGTTTTGAAGAGTAAGTCAAGTTCTATTGATTAGTATATAATTCAATTTGAATAGTAAAAAACTTTCAAAGAAAAATTTGCAAAATAATGATAGATAAATTTTTGATCTTTCAAGAGATAGATTAGGCAAGGAGATGTCTCAGGTTGACTCACCCTAACCGATCAGGAGTTAATCTTTAGATTGCAGCAATTTGGATGACATTTTGATATACTAATGACTAACTTCATATGAAATCAAATTTGAAATCTATTCACTATCATATGTTTGTTATCATTGATTTTTTTCTCACTGAGCGTCTTTGAATTTATGAATGGATTTCTGATAATAATAATAAAATTGTTCACTTTCTAAATCTTAAATGACTTATTCTTACTCGATGTTTACTGATAAAACCTTTAGTCAACATTTTAGTCTTACTGATTAAACATTTACTTGATAAAACTACCGTAAAACTAGAAAAAGATTTAAATAAATTAGGTCAAAATGAATAAAATTTAATAACAATTGAATATAATGAAGATAAATACACATGCTTTGAAAAATTATTTGGAAACAAGACGAAAATTTATCCATTGTTTGAACAGAATCTGAATGTTGGAGGAAGGCTAATTTGATAGTTTTTTATTTATTTGGATATATTTTGGTTGAATCCTATTCAAGTATTTTTTTTTTGCCTGATATACAATATGACAACTAATAATTATAGTTTTAAAAATCTTTTATATAAAATTTTATCTCCATATCGATCATCTTAATTTAGATTTAATATTGCTGATGCTGATTCTAATATTGCTCTTCATCAATATTTAACAATAATGTAATATTCTTTATTCACGTTCAATTGTGGATCAATACCAATCTTATTGTGTATCTCTTCATTGTTTTCACATTTATCTTAAATACATGTTTTGAATGATTAATTTATTAACATAAGACAAAAAACAATAGCTTATCATCTAATATTTGAATTATAATATTTTGAAATGAAAAAATGTTTATTATTCTTATATTTTTTATTGATCTGTTTATTAGACTACTTATTCTCATAACTTTGGTATTTATCTTTTTTTTGTTTACTGGAAACAAGGCAATCATATTCATATCACATGCGCATACAAAGAGATGATTGAACGGATTAAAAAAATTTGGTATTCAAAAACATGAATAAGTTAGACACTGTTTCCCCTAATTAGATATACACACAAATATATAGCGACCAAAGAAAAACGAGAAGAAAGAATAAAAAGCAACAGGAGCAGCATAAATATAAACAGTTAATAGGTTTTTGGATCAATTCCAACATGTAATGGAGAAAGTGATCGTGCTCTATGACTGGCTTCGGTTCGACGAGATACTGGACTTGGACTACGTTGTCGTGGGTGTGCTGAATGAATATTTTGATGATGATGATAATGTTGAAATGGTATTTGTTGTTGATGTGTAAGATTAGTGGACGTTGTTGTTGATGCAGGCATTGGTAAAACAGGTATAGCCATTGTCGGTTGAACAACACTAAGTAGACGTTCTAAACAAGCTGTTATTTCATAATCAGGTATAGATAATGTTTTAGAATCTAAACCAAGCATACGAGCTATTAATGAACGGAAATCAAGTAACTAAAATAATGAAAAAAGAACAAGTAAGAAAATTTTATTTTTCGAAATTTTAATAAATCCTTACTCGGTGTTCTCGTTCAGTAATTTGTTCAAGTGAACTTTTCAAAAATCTTACTTCATTAGATAAAGCTCGTACAGCATTATCTGATGAAATTAATGTTCTATTTGCTTCATCATCTACTGAATGTATTTTATCTTGTAATGTTGAAATTTTTACAGCTTGTTTATCACGTATATTTTGTAATTTATCAAGATCTTCTAAAAGACGTCGAATTTCTTTTTCTTGTTCAACTAAACGATTCTAAAAAGAATTTAATTTTTTAAATAAATAAATTAAATTAAATTAAAATATATTGTTGATTTACTTTAAGTATCTGAATATCTGTTATTTGAGCTTTTAATTGTGTATTTTCTTGTTTTAAATCAGTAACTTGTTGTGTTAAATGATCAACTTTAACTTTCATCTTTCTAGATAACATAACATGATCATCAATTTCACGTTCTAAATCTGTTTTAGCTGCACGTCCTTCTTCTAATGCAATAACTTTTTTACGTAATAAATCTAAATGTAAATCTTTATTTTCCATTTGTTCTTTTAATTGTTTAATTTTTCTTTGTAAACTATAAATTGAAGTTTTTTGATCAACAATTGAATCTTTTTCTGATTTCATTAATTGTTCAGCACGTGTTAAAATAACATCTGGATTAAGTTCATAGCCAAGTTCATTTGAAATATTTTCTATTTTCATTATTGATGCAAGACGTTCAAGAAAATGAAGAAATTTTGCTTTATCTTGTTTAAGATTTTCACGATAAACTTCTGTTGTTGTATAATCATTATCAAGAGTTTTAAGACGATGTTCTAATTCAAGTAAATGGGATTCAGCATGATGTCGTTTATTATCAGATTCTTTATTAATTTCAATTTGTTCTTGTAATTGTTTAGATAATTGTTCTTTTTGATTTTGTAAATTTGTGATTATCTAAGAGAATATTTTACAATTTATTAAAAATATAGAAGAAGAATAGCATTTTCTTTAATTTAACTATTGATAAAATTTAATCAAGGAAATTCTTTCAAATAAGAATCTAATTAGAATTGAAAGAAAGATAATTCTAATCATAGGAGATTTTCGTTTTATACCTTGTGAAATCGAAAGTGGTTCATGTGATTTGTTAAAAAGAAAAAAGATAATATCTCTTATTATACTCTTTGTCTAATCTATGTTGAGTTCGAGGAACGAACTATATAATTTATTGTACAATTAAATTTTAAGACGATTTGCTATATTAAACAATACGAGGAAAGGATTTTATTACCGTGCAAAAGATGTAAAACGTTTTTCAGTAAATTGAATCGAGGTGATTACAAGGAAATATTTTTCGAAATAACATGCAATAGTAATGTTCAAAAATATTATTTTTTTTTTAAATTTCAGTAGAAGAACTCTATCAATTCAGTAGTCGTAGAATAAAAATGTGAACTATAATCAAGTTGTTTTCATTTTAATTAAAATTTTTGATAATTCTTTCCTAATTTGTAGATTAGTATAGATTTTCAATGTAGAAAGGGAATGAATGAGAGACAACCATTACTCTCCCTCCTTTTTTTGATAGAAAGCAAATAGAAAGAAGTGTAGGTCATATTCAATGGAAATCAATAGTCTACGTCTCTCATTAGTCATAATTGAATTTCATGATTTCTCTTCAAACATTATGCAGAAATTCCTATTTAAATATTCAATTTCTATCATTAAATCAGTCTTCTGATTTGATATATCTCCAAAACAAGAAGTTTTGTTATCTCTCATTAAAATCGTTTGCATTGAATCGAGATAAAAACATATTGTTACTTTAATTTTAACAAAAATAAAACGAATAAACCAATAAAATATCTTCTTCCGACGTTTACTAAAAATAGCAGAGATATAGAAATCTGTTTTATTCTGATTTTAAATTTGTAAAAATGCTTGAACTATTTTTTTTCTGCTATGAGAATTTATTTTAATAAGAGTAAACTTACAACGCCACGATCTTTACTAGATTGCATTAATAATTGAATTTTTTCTTTAATTTCATCTTCTTTTGGTTCAACTTTAACATAACCATCAGATAATAATTGTCCAACTTGTTGTTTAAATGCTTCAAAAGTTGTTTTAGCAAAAAGTACATCATTTTCTAATTGTTTTAAATGTACTTCATTAGATGAAAATTTATTTTCACGTTGATCTAATTCACCACGTGTATTTTGCCAAGCTTTTTGTACAGAATCAAGACGTGATTTTGTTGTTTCAAGTTCATTTCTTATTGTTTGTTTATCATTAAGTGCAGCATCACGTTCCGCTTTTATTGAATCTATTTGTAAACGATGATTAATAGTATTTTCTTCATGAATATGTAACTGATTGGCCATTTGTTGAATGGTTGAACGATTAGCATGAGCTTCATTTTCAAATGAACGATGTATTTCTTCGAATTTAACCATTTTGCCTTTTAATGTAGTATTTTCAGCATTCATATCAGAGATCTAAAGTATACGTAAATTGTAAAATACCATCTAAAAAGAATATTGAAGCATAGGGGTAAAAATTGGAATCCACTTCGCCTCTCACAGACCGTGACAAAAATCTTAGCAACGTTCTCCTTCTCCATCACAGACGTTGTTAATATACAATCAAAGACCTAATATCAGTAACGTTTCTTTATAATATATGAACTGTTTCCTTATTGTATTTCTGGAGGATTAAATAAAATGATGTTCCCAAAATAGAGAGAATAAACCCATCTCTCTATGATTAGCAAGAGTAGCTACATCGTGTTTCACCTCTTATTTCCACAAGAATTGCACTATCAGCTTTTTTTTAAAAGCGTAAGAAATGCTTAAAATATAAAATCTATACTATTTTTAACAAAAAATCTTTAGTAGATCGTATAAAGTATACTATTATTGAATAGATGTAATAACAATTACTATCGACTTAATAGAAACTTATTTTTTAATAACTCATAAATGTCTGCCTTTTGTTACTGACGTCTAATTAATTAGTCATCTTATAATGATACAAAGTAATAACAAAGGAATATCTACGTTGTTATTGTAAATTAATGGGATATGAATGTGGATGAAGATGGTGATAAGTGTAAGTGTGAGTGTGAATGGAGTAGGTCTTGGTATGTAGGTGATAGCAAGGTTTCTATTTTACGTACATCCAAACTTTACATCCGCACCCTTCTTACCACCAGAACTTAGTGATCATAAGAGGCAACTTGTATCTTAATACTTAATTAATAATATGGAACAATTACATAAGATCTTGATAATGTTACAAGAAAATACATATCTTTAATTCGTATTAGAATGCAGAAAAAATATCAGTATATATTTATAATTAGTTCTTAACATTTTTGACGAGAAATCGAGATCTAATGATTACTTTTTACTCGAGGATGTCTAAAGATCGCCAAGATTGAAATGAAAGGGATCGACGATTTAAGAGACTGATTAGAAGATTTTTCATAAATTTAAGTAGATTTGGGAAGTTTGTGTGTTTCTTTTTTTGGAATCGTTGAGAAAAAAAAACAATAAAATACTGAAGTTCCACAGGAGAAAAATCAAGATTTTTCACGGTTAGAGTGAATCACTCCTGTTTTTGTCTTAGAAAATAATATGAATGTTTATTATAATGATAATAAGCCTAGACTTCGTAACATTTTGGTAATTATAATCATCACATATAGAAACATGTAAATAATAGAAAAAAAAAGTTAATCATCAATGTTTTTTTCTCATACATTTACCATTCATAGATGATGCTTGAAAATAAAATGCATTGTTAATTATCAATATGTCATTTCGTTAACAGAAATTCAGTTTTCTACAGTTTAAGATCTTTTCTTATTTTTTTTTAATCATTGATACTCTAATTTTTCGTTATTGACTATCATATATAGAAAAAAAAACTCTCTTACTTTAGCCATAAGATTATCAAATGAAGTTGCTGTTGGTTGTCCGAAATCTCCTCCAAGTGTAATATTTAATTGTGAAAATAATTCTTGTAATTTTTTCTGTAATCCTTCAGTTTTTCTTTCACTAGCTTCACGTTCTTCCATATGTGTTCTAAAAAATACATATATAAAAAAAAAAACAGAATCAAAATCAATAAAATAAAAACTTTTTCTATTAATTTTACCTTGTACGTGATTGTAATTCAAGTATTTGTTCTTGTTTTTCTTTAGCATCTTTTTGTAATGATGATATAGTTAATGATGATTTATTAGCAACAGAATCATATGAACCAACATTTGATTCAAGTTCACGTATACGCGAACGTAATTGATTATTAGCTTGATTAAGTGATTCATGTTCTTTTTTTAATGATTCAATTTCATGTTTTAATTCATTGATACGTTCATCTTTTGCAGTTAATTTTATTGTTGTTTCACGTAACTAAATTTTAAGAATAAAATTAAAAGAAAAAAAAAAACAAATCAAATTAAATCATGATTTACATCGTGAGTTAATCCTTCAACTTTTGTTCTATGTTGATCAAGTTCACGTCTAGCTCCTTCTAATGCATTTCGTTCTTGTCCAACAAGAGCTTCATATTTTTCTGTTTCAAAATGTTCAGTTTTATTTGGATCTCTAGAATAAAAAAAAACAACATACACAAGTATATTAATTATAATTAAATTTAAATTTACTGCATTGATGTTAATTCTAGAATAAGTGCATCTTTTTTTTCTAAATCTTTTTTTAATAAACGAATTTGATCTTGAAACTAAAATAAATGAACATGGTTTCTTTTTATCCTAGAAAAAAAAAAAAAGGGAAATAAAATCTTACATCAACTACAACTCTTTTCGATTCATAATTTTCATTTGAACCATTTGCGTATCCATGGTGATGATAACTAGTAGTTGTTGTTGTATATGGTAATGGACTTGACGTTCCATACGAACCACGATATGTATTATGCTGTGTTTGTTGCATAAATGGAGTATTAGAATGTGCATCAATTATAGTTCGAGCTGAACCAAGAATATCACGATCAAGCATATAACTTGAAGATGTCATTGTGTTTTCTTAATCTATTTTGAAATTCTGACAAATGTGTCAAATAAACCAACAAGGTTTCTTTAAGTTTATAGACACACAACGCCATTGTGAAAATTTGAAGTCTTAGGAATGACCTTTATTGAATCTAGTGAACATTAAAAATTAGTTAATTAGAAATAATTTTATCTTGAATATTGAATCTTTATTGATTATAGAAATTCAGAATTGGATATGTTTGCAAAATGCATAAATGTGTTGTAATAAAAACTGAACCAATAAAAAAAAGAAAAGGTTTGGTGATGGTTATTCGTCTGTTTTTTTTTTGTTGTCATTGTCGTTGTTGTCACATTTTCATTTATTTATACTCATTGCCATTGTCTATTATTTAAAGAACAAAAAAAGAAAATATGAGAAAACTCATGTAATCATAATGTCTCATTATGTTTCTTTAGTAATAAACAAGTAATGATTCGTTTTTTTTTCTTTCCCTTACGTTTGTTGGTACAGGTAAACTCTATATAAGATATGGTATATGTAGTGCGCACATAATTTCAGCAACAAATGATTTTTATTGATATGAAAAAAATGACATAACTCATTGTTGAATGATGATTTGCCTGTTATTATAATGAGCACACCTTTACTTTAATTACATCTTCACACTGATTGAAGTGGTTTATACATACAACATTGCTTGAGGGTATAAACACTGTGATTATAGTGAAGATGTTTCTTATAACGGATTAATAAATATATCTATTTTGATTAATCAAAGATTTCATCGAAAGAATATAGAAAATTTTTTTTATTGTAGATGAAGCCAATTGAATAAACGAATATATTCTTAATTGGTATTATTGAATAGAATAAAAATTTCATTATGAATATTTATCAATCATTTCTTTTTCTTTTGGCTATTTTTACAATAACTTACTGTGATGAACATGATCATAAAGTATAGAAATAAAATCAAACAAAAAAAAACTTATATAGATGTTTATCTTCTTTAATTTAGTATGAAGAAGGTCAAGAAGTTGTTTTATGGATGAATACAGTTGGTCCATATCATAATCGACAAGAAACATATAATTATTTTTCATTACCATTTTGTCGTGGATCAAAAAAAGAAATCTCACATTATCATGAAACATTAGGTGAAAATATTTTAGGTGTTGAATTAGAATATAGTGGAGTTGAAATTAATTATAAACGTAAGATTTTTATTTGTTTTCTTTCTTTCTTTTTGTTTTATTAATTAAATTATTTTCAAATTCGTAGGTGATAAAGAAAAAACAGATTTTTGTGAAATAACATTAACACATGAAAATTATGATGCATTTACATATGGAATTAAAAATCATTATTGGTATCAAATGTTTATTGATGATTTACCTATTTGGGGTTTGTTATATAGATATATGTCATAATTTCTTTTTTTTTTTATTTCATAAAAAATAGGTATTGTTGGTGAAATGGATGAATCAGGAAAATCTGCTTATATATGGACGCATAAAAAATTTGAAATTGGATATAATGGTAAGCGAATAGTTGATGTTAATTTAACATCAGAATCAAAAGTACAAATACAACCAAATACAAAATTAACATTTTCATATGAAATTGTATGGAGACTATCAAATATAGAATTTACAAATAGATTTGATAAATATCTTGATCCAGGATTTTTTCAACATAAAGTAAATATTAATAAATAATATTTTGTTTAATTATAGAAATTTATTATTTAGATTCATTGGTTTTCAATTTTTAATTCATTTATGATGGTTTTATTTCTTGTTGGACTTGTTAGTATGATTCTATTACGAACATTGAGAAAAGATTATGCAAGATATGGAAAAGATGAAGATTTGGATGATATGGTAGGGAAAATTTTATTTTATCAAAAAACAAAAAAAAATAATTATCAAATCTTTTTCGAAAATTATGGGTTAATAAGTTCGATTTAAATTGTTGAAAATGTAAACATAGAATTATTTCTATATAATGAACAATAAAGAGCATTTTTAAAATAATAAATTCCTTCTATAGATTATAACAGAGATCAGTAGTTTCTTTAATTTCTGACATGACGATTTTGTATTCAGATATTGACATTTATATTATAAAAGAATTCATACTGATTAGGTAATCATTGTTTTTTCCTATTTTGCAAACTTTTTATTTGAAATTTTAAGTAATGTAAATAATTAGAATTCGTGTGAAATAAATTTTAAATCGACTAATATTTTTTTTCTATAGGAACGTGATTTGGGTGATGAATATGGTTGGAAACAAGTTCATGGTGATGTATTTCGTCCTCCTGCTCATCCTATATTATTTTGTTCATTAATTGGTTCTGGTTATCAAATAGCAACAGTAACAATACTTTGTATTGTTATAACAATTCTTGGTGATCTTTATACTGAGTAAAATAAATCTGATAAATTTAGTTTCTTAAATATTTTTTTTAATTTTTTTTGAAATTATTTAGACGTGCATTACTTTTTAGTACAGCTATATTTCTTTATGCAGCAGCATCAGTAATTAATGGTTATGCTGGTGGAAGTTTATATTCACGAATGGGTGGTTAGTTATGTTAGTTGATTGTTAAAATCTATTATTATTTTTATTTAATTTAGGACAATTATGGATGAAACAATTAATTGTAGGCGCATTTTTTGTTCCATTTCTAATTTGTGGTGTATCATTTCTTGTTAATTTTATTTCAATTTATTATGGATCATCACGTTCAATACCATTTACTGTTATGGTTTGTTTAACAAAAAACAAAGAACAATAAAATTTGATTTTGTTTTTTAAATTAAAATTTTAGTTAAGTGTAACAGCTATTTGTTTATTTGTTATTTTACCATTAACTGCAATTGGAACAGTACTTGGAAGAAATATAAGTGGTAAAATAAATCATCCATGTCGAACAAATGCTGTACCACGACCAATACCAGAAAAGAAATGGTTTATGGAACCATATGTGATTATATTTGCAAGTGGAATTTTACCATTTGGATCGATTTTTATTGAAATGTAAATGAGTTTTTTTTTTTCCTTTCGAAAGAATAGTATGTTGAAAGAATATTTTATTTTTGTATTTAGGTATTTTATTTTTACATCATTTTGGGCTTATAAGGTAAATGAATAAATAGAAAAATAAATAAATGAATAAATAAAATTTTGTATTATTTTATTTAGATTTATTATGTTTATGGATTTATGTTACTTGTATTTTTAATTCTTACTGTTGTTACTGTTTGTGTAACAATAGTTGCAACATATTTTTTGCTCAATTCCGAAGATTATCGATGGTAAAGTTAGAAAATATATTGTTTTTCTTTTTTTTCGAGTATTTGAAGGACAAAACAAAAAAATTTTTCAAGCTGATGCAGACTGATGAGAAAAAGGACGACATTTAAGTAATATATGAATATATTGAATAATATGGTTAATAGAAGAAAAAAAATATTAGTAATTCTATAGACATCATCTGATGTATTATGAATCTTTGAATTGAATAGATTGATTTACTTGTTATTTTTTTTCTATAAAAAATAAGTTAAGCCCTCCCACACTCAAAAATCAATCTTGAACCAGGTGCATTTAAATTACATGAAATTTTCAGCTCCTTATCATGATGTTTTTAGGAGATACTCATCAAACAAGAGCCAAAAATAGCTCACTTAATAAGCTGAAACACTATGTGGGCTATCGTTCTATATAATTAATTTATTTTTTATTCGAAAGAGAATGTCAGACTGCAGTACCTAGCAGGCGCTTTTTTAAAACTTCTTATTGTTTATGCAGAGAAAAAGGATGACAAGTTGAATACCTCAAAAAATGAGCTCTGTCAGTCACTGCAACTGTGTATGTCTGACCTTTCAAAAAAAAAAGGATAAGGTAATTGACTATAATGAGGCTACTTCGAGAATTATGAGATGCGTGATAAGATAAGCATAAATAAAGAAAAAGAGAAAAATATTTGTTGCTTTTTCTGAAGAAAACATATTTTTGAAGCACAAAGTAATGGAAATCATTAGAAATTTTGGCAAAAAATGAGGTATCAAATAAAAAAATCATGTTGTTTATAAAAGATCAGACCTTTGGCGATCATCTCAATTTTGATTTTTCGGATGAAAATTGACTTTTTCTGCGAGAGACTTACATATTCGGATTAAAAACAATAAGTTTACTTCGAAATTATGATTAGTATTGGAAGAACTTTCAGCATAAACTACAATCAATGATTGTCGTTAGATGCTCTATTATTTTGGGGTGAACTAATTTATACATCAGGTGATCCATAAATAATGAATCTCTTCATATTTTGACAATAGTTTTTTCAATCTGCAGATGAAATTTTTTTCCATCAAACAGATGCGCCATTAGATTCTCTACAAAAAGTGAATAACACTCATCTCTATAGAAAGTGAAGAAAGAAAGTTAAATAAAGAATATTCAATACATAGAACCGGATCAACTTTTTAAGCTTTTCATTATTTCAAAAATTTTTGAATATTTTAAATAATCCTAAAGACAATGGAAAAAAAGTGAAAATATTTTTCTATACTTTGAAATGTGGTCTATCGTGTTACAGAATTCAAACTTTGCTGAAATCAAAATGAAATATGAAAAATTTAGCATCATCATAATTCATTTGACAACAGCTTGAATCTACTTTTTCCAAACTGTATTTAAGATAAAAACAATGGATTAAACTTTTATCGTTGAATCTTATAGAGAAATTATTTCTCATTAAAAATAAAAGTGAAATTCGAACTCAAAATTTTTCTAATTTGACGTCCTTATTCAACGAGTATTCAAATAGCTGAATTTTTTCTGCTGTTTCAATATGGAGAATATCAATGTAAATTTTGTATATAAATTTAGTATTTATTTATTGAATATTAATTGATAGAGTTTATCAACAATTATAAAATATATGTACTCCTTCTTTGTTTGATATCTCTCAGGTCAATAAAAGTATATTTTTAAGTTAAAAGCTTTTCAGCTTAGAAAGTCGAGTTATTGATGAGTGTTAAGGAAAGTCATGTTGAATAATTTTTTAATTTTTTCGTAGTATTTTTTTAAAATTTATTTAAATATTATGAGGTGTTTCGTTAAACGAAATTGACTTCATCTCAAACTATATGATAATATACACCCATGTAAATTTTATACGCAGAATATTATTTTATTTTTGCTTTCCTTTTACGTTTTATTAATAGTAGAACGAACACAGAAAAATATTCAAAAAAGTAATATCTCATCTAGTATCGCCATCTGTTCGTTCTAATATCAATAAATGAATAAAGAAAAGCAAAGAAAACGAAAAAAAGAATATTAATCGTATTCAAAATATTCATCTAAGGACAAACAGCCATTTTCATATAGTTCCACTGTATCAAGAATTCGTTGATGTTGAAAAATAATTTTTTTTTTATTTCATGAAGACTTATCCATATTGTTGTTAAATTGTTTCATCATAGCAGTGTTGAATGCATAATTTGAAAGGAGAAAAAATTATTGTTAAAATACACAGAGATTCATTATTTTATGGTCCATTCAATATCTCATTCATAAGAAGAAAATTCATCTGAGAATTTAAAGAAATGTGAAAACTTGCTAATGGTGTTAATAAACAAGGAGAATCTGAGAGTTATCTGTCCTTGTTCGAACCAAGATCTGGAAATTGATGTTTTGATAGAATGAAACGAAAGAAACCTGACCTTACACACCTTTAAACATCACAGAATTAGTTTAATTTTGGATTAGAACCTTTTGACAACATCTTCTATGTTTTATATAATATAGAACTAATCTGTAATTAATTCAAAAATACTGCACAATAGATCTGATGAGAGTTCACTTTGCTTTACCTCAGATATCGGATAAGCCCATAGCATTTGTTCATATTGAAGTTGTTGATGAGCCAGAATTTCCGATTAGGAAAGATTAGTAAGGACTTCCTCCTCACGAAAATTTCCGACTTTCCTCAAAGTTTTTTTTTTAGTCTTGTGAAAAATTCTGACAGAAAGAGAATTTTAGCTTTGCTTCTGATAGACATTCATACGAAAATGCTTTCTCTCGGGGAAAATACCACAGAAAGTCACTGCCTTCAGCATTTTCTATTCGATTTATGCTTGAAAGACGTAGGGACGTAACCAGAAGATCGGAAGTGATAGGGCGATATTTTACGATAATGTGGAAAATCTATGCACTAAAGTGTTAATGATGATAATTATTACGTTTTTTCTTTTTTCTGGTAATAGTTCAGTGTCAGGCCTAGCCCACTCTTGGTTACTTCACTAGATAGACGAACAAAGACACTTTCTATCAAATTTTCAGCCTCTTCAATTCGAAAGCAATCGGAAAACTTGTGATGAATATTCCAAGAATCAGTTTAAATTCAAGCCTTTCTTTGTATACTCACATATTCAGCATATTGAAGATGAGAGTTGATTGAATACAAAAGTTTAGAGTTTGTATACAGTCGGATCCGAGTTTAGAATGAATTTAATAGGCTCTATTAGGAAGACAACGAGAGGTAGGAGAGTATATGAAAATTTTAAAATATTTGTTATAATATGAAAAAATATTTTTTAGGCAATGGACAAGTTTTCTAGCTGGAGCATCATCATCGATTTATGTTTATTTCTATGCGATTTATTATTTCTTATTTAAAACAAAGTAACTTAAATAATAATAAAGAAATTTTTTATTGATAAAAAAGATAAAAACTACATATTGTTTTAATTTTAGAATGTATGGCATGTTTCAAACGGTATTTTATTTTGGTTATATGGCATTATTTTCTGTTGGCCTTGGAATAATGTGTGGAACATTTGGTTATGTGGGTACTCAAGCATTTGTTCGAAAGATTTATTCACATAAAATAGACTAAAAAAAGGACAATTTTTTTTCTCCAATTATGTCATATCTCTTGTTTTTGCAGCAGCAGCAGTAGCAAAATCTCACATATAGTGATGAATGAATCAATAAAAAGATAGGAACAAAGAGAAAAGAACGTTTCTTATTTTAAATTTCAATCCTTTTTTTTCTCGAAACAACACATGCTGTTGTTGTTATTGTTGTTTTTCTTTTCATATACATACTAATATTTTATTTATTTCTTTTTCTTTTATCTCTCTTCCGTTTGTTGTGTATTCCGTTTTTTTTTTTCATTCTTATATTTGCTTGTTTTTGTTATAATTACATTAGTCTATCTTCTGTTGATAACAGGTGAGAGAGAGAGAGAAGAGGTGGAGGAGAAGATGAAAATCTTTCGCTTTTTTGTTCTTATTTATAAAAAAAAAAAAAAAGAAAAGACAAACAATTTATTAAATGTATCGCATAAGATTTTAAACTAACAATTTCTTTTATTGAAAAAAAAAATCAACTAATAATTAAAATAACAGATAATAAAAAGGAAAATTTTAGTTGAAAATGGTTACCAAATAAATTGAATAAGTATGGAATTCAATTCTAATGTATCAAAAAATCTGATACAAAAAAAAAAATTGATAAACTTAAAATGAGAACTTATAATAAGAATAGTTTTCTCCTCAATAGAACGAACTGCTTTCTTAGTTTAAATAATGGTAGAAAATATATAGATTCATATTATTCCTCGGAATAGAAAACTCTGCTCAGAGAAACGATGCACCAGACGTAATAGAAGATCGTCTGTAAATAATTTATTTCTTGCGATTTGAACCTTTAGCTAATGTGTTTATGTCAATATTTGCTTATTTTTCGTCGCTATGCACCAAAAATCTTAAAATACTGAAGTCAATTTCATTTCTAGGCTTGTAAAAACTTAGAAATCTCTTTCTAGATCCTCAAGAAAGCTTTCGTCAGACCACCGAGCAAGCTGGCTACCGGCTAAAATATTGACTTTTGATTTTATTATCTCAAACGACAGGCCATCACTAGAATACTTTTTCTCAACACTTGATCATAAAATCTGATTTTTAGGGTGCTCTGAATATTTTGTACTTTTTTCTGTGTCTACTCATTCGTACGAGTTCGGAGACATCTCAAAGATGCAGAAATCTTTACTGTACAAAATTAGTTGACTCATTAAGTTCTACAATATCATTCATCAATTGACAGTGGCAACACATGGACAAAAATGACGATTGGCTAAGAAACAAGATTATCAAGTATTTCGGATCTGGTTACACGAAATCTTACTGTCTCAAAATGATTTATATATTTTCTGCAAGCCCTTGAAATTCTGCATCATTTAAGGTATTATTTCAATAAATTAGAATAGTGGTAGCAAAAACTTAGTTCATACCACAAATGTTGATGGGTGATACTTATCCCTATCTATCCAGATCCACAATCAAGATACTTCATATTTCATATTCATCCGAATTAAAAGTAAGACTTCAGATATATAATCAGACAACTTCAGCATATCTCCAAGTACATATTTATAGACATCTTTGTAAACTTCTATAGTTGTCCGTGAGAAAATATGGAATGAAATGTTGTTATCTCATTTCGAATCACTAACTCTTTGCTCCAAAGGTACTTATTTAGGTTTTGCAAGTTTTGTTTTATTTTTGAAAAAATTGTATTTCCCTCCGTGTTTGTCACGAAAGCATACAAAACTATAAAAATAGTATCCATAGTTGGTAGGTTTTTTTTATCACAACCTATTCTGATAATAAAATGGATAACATATTCGGAATCAACACAAAAAACTACCTAGAAATAGATGCATTTGAACCAAGTTTTTTCAATGAAAGATCAATTCTCGAGAGCTCACGCACATAGTTTTGAAAAACAATGATGAGAGGGAGCACAGGTGAGTATTTTCATAAAAAATAAATTTTACCAAAATATATGTAATTCTACGTAGTTTTTTGTGTTGATTCCGAATATGTTATCCATTTTGCTATCAGAATAGGTTGTGATAAAAAACTGCCAAATATGGACACTATATTTATAGTTTTGTATGCTTTTGCAACAAACATCGAAGAAAAAATACCGTTTTCTCAAAAATAAAACAAAACTTGCAAAAAAGCTAAACAAGTATTTTTGGAGCAAAGAGTCAGTGATTCGAAATGAGATAATAACATTTCATTCCATGGTTTCTCACGGACAACTATAGAAGTTTACAAAGATGTCTATAAATATGTACTTGGAGATATGCTGAAGTTGTCTGATTATATATCTGAAGTCTTACTTTTAATTCGGATGAATATGAAATATGAAGTATCTTGATTGTGGACCTGGATAGATAGGGATAAGTATCACCCATCAACATTTGTGGTATGAACTAATTTTTTGCTACCACTATTCTAATTTATTGAAGTAATACCTTAAATGATGCAGAATTTCAACGGCTTTCAGAAAATGTATAAATCATTTTGAGCCAGTAAGATTTCGTGTAACCAAATCCGAAATACTTGATAATCTTGTTTTTTAGCCAATCGTCATTTTTGTCCATATGTTGCCACTGTCAATTAATGAATGATATTGTAGAACTTAATGAGTCAACTAATTTTGTACAGTAAAGATTTCTGCATCTTTGAGATGTCTCCGAACTCGTACGAATGAGTAGACACAGAAAAAAGTACAAAATATTCAGAGCACCCTAAAAATCAGATTTTATGATCAAGTGTTTAGAATAATGTGACTTGTATACTTTGACATTTTTCATAGACACATCAGAAAGAGCTGATATTTTGAATTTAAAGTATTCTAGTGATGACGTATTGTTTGAGATAATAAAATCCAAAAATCAAAATTGTAGTGCTGGCTGGCGTCATACAAAATCATTCGGTGGTCTGACGGATTCCCTCGTAAAATAACTTTGAATTTCTTTTGAAAAACCTTTTTAATAGAAAAAAATTATGAAAATAAATGAAATACAATAGAGGACTCCTCTGATTTGACTTTGGATGTTGAAAGAACTTCATAAATATGTCATGATACTTCTTTTCATGTATTCTTTCACGTAATTTTATGTGCAAAAATGTTCAAGTTTTCAATTGCTGAAATAAATCTCAACATTCTCCTGTTAATTTTTAATACAGTTCGAAACGCAACATTTATGTAGATCGGTGATGCCACTATCGTGAAACACAGAAAATAATGTTGATCTTATTTTTATTGAGTTTCCAAATTGCGAACACTTTTAATAATTAAGTAATATAGTTTTAATTAGAAAAAAATTTATTAACAACAAAAATACATAATAAAAAAAAACTATTCCTCATCACTACTATCTTCGGCAACTTGTATAAGATCTATATAACGATGAGAAATAAATCTTAAAGCTTTTTGATAAGCATGAAAATCTTTATCTTGAATATATATTTGATTTGATAATTGTATTGTCTTTTAAAGTTATAGTACGAGAACAAGATTTGAAAGTACATATATACACAAATGAACCGTTCTTGTTTTCACGTCTGAACCCATTTAAATGATTATTATATAAGATAGCCTTTTCACCTCTTACAGTTGTTGACCAAGTACAATTTGTAACCATACTTTGAATTATGATATCATTCTTATTCTCAAACTTTTATATTTATATTATTAATAAAATTGAACTCATAATCAGCTATTGCAATTACTAATTAATCAAAGTGTTCGCAACGGTCAGTATGCTCTTCGCCGAAAGCCACATCGTCGAAATGCAGATCGCCGAACTTCGACGAACTGCATTTCGACAAAGTCCCATTTCGGCAATGTGACTATCGACTATCTGTATTTTCGGCGGTGTCACTGTCGGCGATATGGCGATCGGCAATTTTTATGCCAATGATTGAATCGAGCAGTTAATAACTAACTCAATTGAGTGATACAATAAGTTAGGAATCAAGTTAGGGATCAAGTTAGTTACTGACTTGTTCAAGTTAGGGTTTCAGGTAGTTACTAGCTTGCTCAAGTTAGGTTTCCAGGTAGTTACTAACTTGCTCAAGTTAGGAATCAAGTTAGTGATCAAGTTAATTACAGACTTGTTCAAGTTAGGGTTCCAGATAGTTACTAACTTGTTTAAGTTAGGAATCAAGTCGGTTAATACCTTGATTAAGTTAGGAATCAAGTTAGTTACTAACTTGATCAAGTTAGGAACCAAGTTGACCATGTCAGCTACTAGCTTTACTTAGGAACCACGTTAAATTAGTCACTAACTTGATTCAGTGCTAACTCTGATAAGCTAGTAGATGATCGAAATGAATTCGGCGATCTGCATTTCGATGAACCTCTTATCGACAATCTGTATTTCGGTGATGTTGATTTCGGCGATCTTTCTTTTCGATAATGTTTGTTTCGGCGCGAGTTTCGGCGATGTTATTTTTCGGCGATATTGCTTTCGGCGATGAGGCATACAGCCTTCGCAACTTAGAAACGCAATAAAAATAAGATCAACGTTATTTTCTGTGTTCCAAATTGCGAACATTTTTTCTTAATTGGCTTAATTTTTGTTCGCAATTTGGACGTAGCCGCCACTATATAGTGACTCATCATAAGTTTTTTTTTAATTTTATTTCTTATAAGACATACGCATCAAAAACTGTCATTTTGTGACGCATTGACCTGACGAAGATAATAAGATAAAACATTAATTGAAATGAAGACAGATAACTTCATGATTAAATATGACATTTTTTTATTTGGTCATAAAGACTCAATTTGTTTAATTATAATTATCTTGACAAGATGACAAATAACAATAAATAATTTTTTCCCAAAAGCGTTCCGTACTCAATCGTAGAAATAATTTATTGCTGTTGTAAGAATTATCAACATCTCGATCGACAATTGACATTTGTAGTGTATTCATCTGCACATTGTATTTTGAATTTCATCTGAATGCCATCTGGTCATATCACTAGTATCGACAGTCAAATGATTTGATATTTAGATAATAGATAATAG